TATACAGCACTTATACTAAAAAAATAATGTTAATAATTTAGAATATGAATTGTATTTTGTTAATTTTTTTTCTACTGGCCATGTTTTAACCCAAGCAAAAGATTAGCCATCTCAGTACCAACGCCTTTCACCTTTAGTACTGCTCCCTAAGATGGTAAGAACGGCATATTTGAGTATCCCTGACACGTCCAGTCAATCGGCACCTTCAGCTATCTTTAAACATGGTAAAATAGTAGTAAAGCGCTGGCTTCGAGTAGTAAAAACATAGAAGGTTTTAGATGTTTGGTCACGTCTGTGGACTACAATGAATGCCTCACAGCCTATAATATACTAGTTTTTTAGCTCTACCTTTCAAAGCGTACAACAGCAGCACTGCTACTTAACGAGACCTAGGCAGACGGTTTCCTACGTAGAAAAGGAGAGAGAGTTGAAAGACCTAGGAAATTATTCATTCTAACATTTTCTCTATCCCGCGAAGAGCGAACTAACCACCGAAGGAAAATAATTTAATAAAAAAAAAGAAAAATTTAGACACTTCCCTATACATAAGTATTAAACATGCATTCAGACCCAGATGTCTTTGTGCGATAAAATTAAATTCATACCTGATTAAAATTTCTTTTTCCATCCAAAGAGCATTGTACTCCAAGGAACTCATGATAAATTTTTTTTATAAAACAGTCAATACCTTACTGCCAATGTCAATATCAAATAATTGCATATCAAATAACAGCCTGAGCGCGGACCGACGTCTGAAGGCCGAGCGTCCCGAGGGTACGTCAGCATTAAACTGGACCAGAACCTTGGAGACCCACGCTCAGTTAGTGCCAATGTTCTATGTATGACGAATGCTTTATTAGGCTAACTACTCAGCTCGTCACGTATTACAATTACTCAGTCTTTCTTCGAATTGATGAGACTTGTTCTCTCACATTGTGTTTACTTGGACGACAAACTTATGTAAATAATTATCATTGTTCATCACACAAATCCTTACAATTAGTTTATTGACTCGGTTTAACATATTAATTTTAGTTATTAGTAATATTTCAGTTAGTAAATCAAATCTAATTTCGCAAATATGAACTAAATTTGTTTGAATATGTACGTTTGATATTAAAATGATTGTTTTTTATATTTTTATTGATTTATATAATCCTTACGTTGAAGCGCCACGCCGCAGCTATATATAGTATGGTTGTAGCACGAATGAGTGAGCTCGACGACCCCGGCCGAGCTCACCCATTCGTGCTCTCGCTGCGAACACGCTCTCACAGAATACCAGCGTAAAATAGCAAGCAGCATCATACTGCTATTTTACTAAAAAATAAACTGTGTTTAGTATCGTGAGTTTAGAGAACTTAGTCCTCAGGGGTGACAGCTTTGATTCTTAATTGAAGAAAAATGTAGATGTCTATTGGCCACAGCACCCACTTACCATCAGGCGGACTGTGCGCTCGATTGTCACTCTTATTCAAAAAGATATAAGACATTTTATTGCAACACCCGCACGTTAAGCTCATTTTAAGTGGTTCCAGGAGTATTTAGTTAAAAGCGTTATTAGTATTTTAACAAAATAATATTTCGAAGACATACGAAGTCCGCTAACACGCATTGGGCAGGGCGGTGATCATTTTCTTACCAAACCCTCTCAGAAATGAGAGGAGGTCTGTGCCGAGCAGTGGAACTTTACTTTCGTTAAGTTGTGTTTACGTTTTTTATTAAGTTTAAAGTTTTTCAAATACTTTGCAGTGGAGATGAACAGATAAAAATGTTTTGAACATATTTAAATAAGTCTGTCAATTCACACGAGATAGCTGGGCGGTTTTTTTGTCATATTTGATAAAAGAGTCATAAACTCATAAACGTACGGAACAAGTTGCCTAAGAAATGGATACGGTGATACCATCAATGTCACTACGTAGACGATTTGCCGACGATATAATGATCATGGCAGAATCCCTGGAGGAACTTAACACTATAATCAAGACCACAGTAGTGTTTTCCAACAGGTTTTTAACTTACGCAGTATTTACTTCAACTTGTTCGCAAAACTTTTTGGCCGAAAGTATACAACCAGTGCGTGTAGTCTATAATAATTTAAGGAACTGACAACTGAAACGTGGTACTTCTCTGCTGTGCGTAAGAAGAAACTCAAGTCACTCAACGTACAATAGAAAGGGCGATGCCGGAAATTCTCTATGAGAAAAAATATTTGCAGAAAAACAAGAGGAACTGAGACAGTTCAGGAGATCAGTGTGCTGAAGTGGCAATGTCGTACTGGAGAGCATAGTATTGGATGACCCTCACTAGATGGAAAGACAGCTGAAAAAACACGCAGGTAGTCTACAGTTGCAGGCAGCTCAGGACTAACTATCTACAAGGCTTTGTGCCTGGAATGATAGCGAGTAATAATGTTGATAAGTACTTTTACATCAATTGATGATTCAAAAACATTTCCTCGACTTTCTTTTTGACGTGTGAGCATAATGCATTAAATGCCGCTACATTTTAAATCACAACATCATGAAAAGCTAGGGCGTGAAAAGCGGAAAAGGAGAGTAAAGGCTTTGCAATGAGACTTCCACAAATAGGAGAAAAATAGCGGCGCTAAACAAATGAACATGCTCGTTAACGTTTCGCCAGCATAATGAACATTTTTAACATTTAGTCGCTTTGAACGCTTTGTACGACGGTCGTCATAACATAATAAGAAAATAATGAAACTATTTTACAATATCGTCTGCGCTCAGTTTTCTACTCCGCAAAGTTTTAATATATAGAATAGGGATGACAAACGAGCACACAGTTAACCTGATAGAAAGTGGATGCTGTGTCATAGACACCTACATCTATCTTCATTTAAGAATGAAAATATAGATGCGTTGTTACTCTTGTGGACTAAGATGGAACTCCTCGTTTCCAATAATAAGAGTCTCTGGTTCTCTAGAGTTACCATACGAAACACAGCAGTATTAAGCTGCTATTTTATGCCGGTATTCTGTGAGAGCGTGGTCAATCCCCGATCGAGCCCACCCATACGTGCGACAATCATATGTCCTGCACTACTGTAACACGACTCTACTTAAATTTGTGGTGTAAATGAGAGAGCATTTATTAGTAGACATAAGATCTCTTTTGCCTTTCCTATAGCCTTATTTAGTTGACGATTGCAAAATGATGTAAATTGAATAAAAATAACTATATCACTCTATATTGGGTTCTACAAATACGATTTATGATTGAAGAATCAATCTGTATATCGATGTACCAATGCCTCAGGACGATATAACTAACTTCAGCTCCAACCACCAAGATAATTAGAAAACAATGAATAGGTTTGTATTTAAAGTATCGCTAATAAACACAAGATTGTGGTGATCCACCAGTGGATCACTGACTTAGGTCTGCGGCCGCAATTAGCAAGTCCGTAATTGCTTATTTGGCCTCGAGCATTTATCATAAAAGTGATTTAAACTGTTATTAACCTAAACATAGATATCTGTGCATCCTAAATCGTAATGGAATTGTAAAAAAATCTATCAACAGTTTGGTATAGTTTGTTTGCGCGGGATAATTTTTTATAATAGTTCGAAGAAAGAACATCGAAAGAGACTTATTTGCCAGTATTCACCTATGAACTATGATTTGTAATAAAACAGCGCTAAAGGAAATGCCAAGATATCGAGCTTTGTGATGAGGAAGATCATTTCTGTTGGTAACACGATTTTTGTACAGAAAAAGGGACAAACGAACAGCTCACCCGTTGGTAAATAATCACTGTCGCTCATGAACTTCTGAGGTGACAAACGAGTTCACAGATCAACTGTTGCCAAGTAGCTCAGACATAACATTCAGACTAGAATACAGGAATGCCAGCACTGCTGTTTGACGGTAGAAATAGCCGATAGCGTGGTACCTAGACTGACGGACTTCCAGGCAAACTAGGAGTTCATCGCCTAGCAGACCTGACAATAAACAAATGTGAGTAATGTTACAAATTGTACTATAGTAAGCCCCCAAAATAACAACATAGTAAAACAGAATTATCTCAAAGGTACAAAATGCTCTCTAGTCTCTACACTTAAGTCTCTCTCGCCTGACTGAAGATCTACGAGTCGCTCGAGTGTTAAATTGCTTTACAATAAAAGCGGTGCAAAGTAATTCAGAGTCTAGACGGGGGGAAGCCATCACAGCTATGTATAAAATATACACTTAGAGGAAAATTTCTAACCTGTTTGTTTACGAATTTGGTCTCATTTATGAATCTGAATTATTTCTACGAATGGGGAGATATACTCGTAAATCAACCGGTTGAATATTTTATTGTATTTTACTCGGAAATAAGGACGACAAACAAGCACACAGTCCACCTCAATAAGTGAAGCAGTCCACAGACATTTACAACTATCCTCGATTAGGGATCAAAATGCAGATGCCTTGTCACGTCTGAGGACTAAGATGGAATGCCTCATTTCCAGTAAATAGGGGCTCCGGTCTACACTCACCATACAAAACACAGCATTAAGCTACTATTTTACGCTGGTATTCTGTAAAAACGTGCTCCTTACTAGTCGAGCTAACCTATTCGTGCTACGTATATATATATATATATATATATATATATCTGCAGTATGGCTCTACCACGTAAAAATATTATTGCAAATAGTTTATTGCGTGCAGTAATATGAACTGATTCGCAAACGTAACTCTACACGAGACAGTAATAGATTCATGTTTTGATATTGTGTTTAAAACAATATGTCGTGGGAAATACATCAGCGACCGTGTTAGTTATAATCCGACAATCCACGTAATGACATCATTCTAAGGCTAGTTTCTCTGAAAATCAGCGTCAACATTAAAATTTTTTAGACGTCACACTTCACGTGGTTTACGTAATAGTACACGAGGTAGAGCTTGAGGTAGAGCATGAGATAGAGCACGAAGTAGAGCACGAGGTAAAGCACGAGGTAGAGTACAACGTAATGAGAACTCACCGGATGCGCTTGGTGGCACGATGAGCGGTTTCCACGGTGACGAGAAAGACGGCGTGGCTGCGAGACGAGTGCTCGTTCATGTCGGTGCGGCCGGCGGCTCGGTGCCGGTTGCCCGCACGCATCGCTCGCACCATGTCCGCCGCAGACCGGCACACCACTGATGTCATCTCAGGGATGTAGAACCCGTTCAGCTCCTGTCACCCGCAAACATACCGCTTTGAATACCACTGAAGTAAGATGTACAACGTACTAGAACAAACACAAATCTGTGCGACAGTGTGGGCGCATGGAAGGAGGCACATTAGTACATTTTTATGGCACACACTACATAAGTTTGAGACCATGGGTTCTAACGCGTGTTGCAAACAACTAAGTCTGTTCTTTGTTGTGTACATAGCAGCTGTTTTGGACTCGCCGCCCACTTAGCGGTCATCCACCGCAGAGGTTTACTTTATCTGAAGATGCCTCGTGTAGAGGCGAAACACGTGTCGTATTATCGATGGTGGTGTGTCTTTCCTAGTGTAATGGTGTAGGGAGTGGTGGTACTGGGATTAGTGGTGACGACCAGGGAGGGCGGGAGGTGTACTTCAGACTAGGTAAGACACATCAAAATATTTTATTACGCGGATCTTAGATAATTATTTTTAAAATTTTCAAGTCTCTACGTATCTTTTAGTACGTAGTAAATATTACTGCAATGTTGAATACATAAGGATCATATGACTGTGTATGTATTGTTTGTGTAAGAATATCCACTACATCATGTCGTCCCGTGGGTGTCACAGGAAGCATCTTTCCGATGAATACAATCGAATCAAAATAATAGAAAACTGCGGTTGCCAAACCACTTGCCAAGCGTGCCATTTATTTAAAACCGTGTAGCGACGGTGCAGGTCCCGTGAGTGTCGAAATAGGCGACAGAGGAAAAGTGAAACAGGAATTGGTTAATGGGAAAATTATAAAAAACTGCGCTTGCCAACCCGCCTGCCAAGCATGCCAATTACGGTAAATCCCCCTGTATGTGCCAGTCTATATGGAGACCTATGTTCAGGCTGCTATGGTAATAGTAAAGTTTAGATACTACAGATATAAACAAAGCAATAATTAATTAGAAATCCCTTCTTCCAATAAATAGCTTACTAGAATATATACACTTCAATTGATTTAGACGTGGGTAATAAGGCACGTGCCTTTGTTATTCAAAAGTGTAAACGACCGTGGGTTTGGAATGAGGTTTGATTTGCCTCTGATGCAAGCTGTAGAGCTAGGAGATATCCAAAATATTTTTATACGTGGGGTGCAGATGTGATAGCCTTTTAAATAGAGTTATAGTAATAAACGAACTTACTACCTACTAGAGATGGGAGTGGGATGATTACTAGTTTTGGATTCGGTACTCGGCGGGTTCGGCCTTTTTTTAGGGTTCGGCCGAGTACGCAGCGGCACGCAACGGCAGCAGTGGAGCCTAGCATCAACGACCGAGTACAGAGTACTCGGCCTTAATTATATTCCAGGGAAAAATAAAGACAAAAGCCAGTTTTTATTGTTATTATTATGTTAGACACACCGAATCGTCATGGACCACGAGAAACAGCAAAAATATTGAGAATGTACATGTGTAAGAATCTATAAAAGAATCATTACTAATATTTAAAACTTCAGAGGGAAAGATTGTAATGCAAAAACACTAGTTTTTCGGTTTTGTATTTATACGCATCGTTTCATCCCTAACTCTGTGTAAGGGAAATAAACGCGCGCCGCCCGCAAGTTGTTTTTATAAAGTCGAGTATTCGGCCAAGTACTCGGCGAATCACTACTCGTTCCATGTCCACCACCTACATAATAATAAGTGGCTACTGCGACCCATGGACACCTCCAGCCAACTTTAAATAAAAAAGCTACAAATGCATTGTCAATAATGAACTAAGATGGATAAAGATAAAGATAAAGATAAAGATAAAGATACATTTATTGCATAACTGTGTACAATAAGATCTTAGTACGAAAACATATAGTTTTAGGCTCAACAGTTTACCCATTTCGGGTATGCAACAATTAAAAAATAATTTTTAAATTTACTACATACCAACATTTATTTTATTAAAATACTCATTGAGATTGTAAAAAACATTTTCAATTAACAATTTCTTTAATTTTTTTTTAAACATATTTCCATTTAATTGTTTAATAGCTGGTGGTAACTGATTGTATACACGAATAGCAGTAATGTAGGTACTTTTATAGTAAATCATATTTTTAATAATAGGTAAGCTTATATCATATTTATATTGATTGCGAATGTTTTTCTTTGAATCATATTTCAAATTAAAATATTGCATATTGTTTTTAACAAATAAACATAACTCTGGAAGGCCTTACAACCTGTCATTATACTGACTGTCTGTACTCCTCGGAGCGGCACGTTCTGTTTGACGACAGAAATAGGAAAGAGGGTAGTCAGCACCTTCCCGGACGGACTTGTAGGCGGGAAAGAAGTCTTAATACTTAGTGAAACAGTTACGATAAAGGTAAATACAGATTCTTTTTACTTCTTTCACATTCTTTTAAATATTTATTGCGAGAGTACACAGATCACCTGATGGTAAGTGGCAGCTGTAGTCCATAGACATCTACACTTATCGTCGATAAAGGATCAAAATGCAGATGCGTTGTCACTGGTGAGGACTAAGATGGAATGCCTCGTTTCCAGTAAAAAATGGTCTACGGATCTCTATACTCACCATACGAAACACAGCAGAATTAATCTGCTATTTTACGCTGGTATTCTGTGAGAGCGTGGTTCTTCCCCGGTCGAGGTCGCGCTACAGCCGTAATATAGCTGCAGCGTGGCTCTATCACGTATAAAATATAAACTCTTAGACAGAAAAGAGTCACAGCACCTATCCTTTTTAATCACCTACTTACACAAATCTTTAGAGGATAAAGCAATTATTGGCTTAACCGTTCTATACTCGTGAGAAGTGTTAATTGCAAAGTGAAAGTAATTTTATATTTATGTTTGTTTCTAGGCATTCTTATAAAATCCACTCAACAAGAAATTTAATTAGGTTCTTATGAACGCCTCCACGCAAGTGTTGCGCCGACACGGACACATAAATAGATATTTCGAATAAAACTAATTAAAATAACACAATGTTGAAATTCTGAATTACAGTAGTGTTAAATATTAATTGCAGTTAAAATACAAACAGTCGTATGAGTCAGCAGCCGTAGCGTAACTGATCATTACGACGTTACTCGTAATTGTAAGGCCTTACCACTAGAGTTGCCAGCTCCCGATTTGATTTAGAGGATTTGATAAGATTTAAGTAAAGGACATAGGAGGAAAATAAAAGATATCATATTATTTTCAATAAAATGCTATTATGTTAACAGTTAAAGTTAAAAGTACAGCCTATATACGTCCCATTTCTGGGCACAGGCCTCCTCTCATTTATGAGAGGGCAAGGAAATGTTCGCGTTGCTCCAATACGTGTTAGCGAACTTCACATATCTTCAAAATATTTTTTTCTTATTTCACAGACATGCAGGTTTCCTCACGATGTTTTCCTTCACCGCCAAGCACGTGGTAAATCAGCACTTAACATTGCAATTAACAATTTCATTGGTGCCGGCGGAGATCGTGAAATTTACAGGAAGCGCTCAGTCCCTGAGCTACCTCGGCTAAGGTAGGGTAGGGTAGGGTAGAGTATTAGTAGCAACATTTATTAATAAAAAAAACAATGTTAATGCTTAATATAACGTAGTTTGTCTTTCCAATATCGCGCGTCAACTTAGTGATTTAAAACTCTTTGACCTCAACAAGCAGAGCGGGATATTGCCCTGAAGATTTTAAATTATGAGTCTGTATTAATTATGGCTGAATAGCGGCAATTTTTGGGTCTGAAATATGGACGTCTTTTAAAATAAAGGAAGACGTCTGGCAACCCTACTTATAATGCAATGATTAATATCTTGCATATTATCTTTCAACTAATTTTTATCACAACAACTTACAGTTTTATAATAGTGGTCATCCAATCAAGTAGTTCGGTTGACCCACCGTTAATTTTTGTATATGTAAAACTATATGCGTTATAGAAAACATTTGAAATAAAAAAATGATCTTATAATTTTACGTAAAAAGTTCTCTTCACATCACCTTTGATTATCTTTTGCTTTTTAAAAAATGTTAAGAATCGTTTTTGCATTAAAACTTTAAGAATAGAAGATATTAAAGTGTGATGACTGATGACCGAATTTTGTGTAAAATTGCAAACAAAGGTTTTTGATGGATTTTTTAAATATCTTATAGTTTTTGGGTTAATCATCGAAAATCAATTGTTTTATCAGTTTTGTGATTTTACAAAAAATACTTTCATCTCCTCATGTGGCGATGTTTTCTATCTGTTTGTGAAGTTCTTTTTACAATCAGTTCAGTCATTCCTAAGGTAGGCCCGAACAGACAAACAAAAATATAAAAAGTAGTAAGTATTCATCTCTCAATCGCATGCCAATAACTCCTGTGCCTAAAACAATGCATTAGTTGTCTCTTTTTCGGCTTCGCAGACGCGGTAGACCAGGAGCTAAACGCTCTGTGTAAATTCCACAGTACGCGAGCAACCTGGGTTTTATCTGGGGACATTTTCCCCAAAATCTGGGACGTACTGGCGTACAGCCTGTTTATTACTTTCTGCGTGATCTCACTAACTTTATAAATCTCCTATCCTACATCCTACAGTAAGCAGATTTTTGGTGTTTCTTTATTCTAACTTTTTACTTTTTTATTTTCGTTAACAGTTTAATAAATTTTATTATATTTGCTGCATTGTCCGAGAAATAAAAAAACATATTTCGACGACAACAAACGACATGTATAATCCGTCGACACCTTGGGGCAGCGCGGTGGACACTTTTCCCTAAAAATATTTCAGTAAGAGGACTGTGCCCAGCAGTGGGACGTATATAGGCTGTGACATTTGTATACTTTACTTTTTTAATTCGGTTTTATTTATATATATGAATGTTTACCGTGTAGAGGCCGTGTAAGAATATCCACTAGCCAATATCATCCCGCGCGTGTCGAGGACGCGACACAGGGAAACCAATCAGGAGATAGGCAGCAGCGACTCCCTATTAACACTAAAAAATTAAAACTGCATTTGCCAATCCTTCTACCAAACCACTATGGCTA